TACCTGGAAATGGGTGGCTAAACCCCTTTTGTGTCAAGATTAGAGGTAGCTAATTCTGGTTTTATGTATTTCTGTTAATCTTTTGTATGTGAACAAAGTTTTGATCAATATAGATGAAGTTATTTGCTATATTTTGTTGTATTTATGGTTTGGATTGCTTTAGACATTAACTTTTCAAGTCTTGACCTAATTTCTTCATCTATCAACTAACAAACTCTAGACATAGATTTGGAAGTTGATATTTGCATTGTATTGATCTTAATAATTATTGTTTCGGGTGTTATTTCGAGAGATCATTTAACGGTCGAAACAATAATATTCACGAAATTGTTTTAGAGATAAACGGTTTTGCGAGGATACGCGATTATATTAGTTGAAACTAAGTTCAAATATTCGATTGATTGGATACGTTTAAGACGCATTAGTGAAACCTAATCTTGGCATGCTTTTTATCAAAGAAGAACCAACTTTTACCTTGTTTTACTTCTTGCAAACTTATGTTACCAAATAGAAACCATTTGAAAACCCCTTTACTTAAGTCAGTAAAATATTGAACGGCAAGCATCAAATATTCTCGTACAACCCCTGCGGATAAGATAAAACACTCCCGACCATACTTTTTAACAATAGTGACAATCTATTTCTATGTGCTTGGTCCGTTCATGGAATACCGGATTGGATACAATGTGAAGTGCCGCTTGATTGTCGCATATGAGTCTTGTGTCCTGAAGGTCTCCCAACCTAAGTTCTGAGAGTAAATTCTTAAGCCACGCAAGTTCTTTTGATGCAGCTGCCATAACACGATATTCAGCTTCAGCACTATTTCCTCCATGAGATTATATTTCCTCCAATAAGAAGACAATATCCGGAAGTGGATCTCCTATCCGACAGTGATCCTACCCAATCTGCATCTGAATAACACGTGATTTTAACATCACCCTTATCTTCATATAATAGGCCTCTTCCTGGTGCATTCTTTATATATCTAAGAATCCGAATAACTGCATTCCAATGAGTATCACAAGGAGCATTCAGAAATTGACTCACAATGCTCACTGCAACTGTAATATCCGATTTAGTGACGATAAGATAATTAAGTCTACCTACTAGACATCAATATCTTCCCGGGTCTTTCAACAGCTCCTCCTGACCCGGAAGAAGCTTGACGTTAGGATCTATAGGAGTATCAATTGGACGACAATCAAGCATACAAGTTTCATTGAGGGTGTCTAATGCATACTTACGTTGGTTAATTGCAATGCTGATGAGGACTGAGCAACTTCAATACCTAAGAAGTATCTGAGTGGACCCAAGTCTTTTGTCTGAAAGTTGTTGAAAAGATGAGTTTTGAGTCGTTGGATACCCTTTGTATCATCTCCAGTGATAACAATGTCATCAACATAGACCACAAGAAAGATGTGTTGACCGGTGGAGGAACGAAGGAAGAAAACCGAGTAATCTGATTCACATCTAGTCATACCAAATTGTATCAAGGCAGAGTTGAAGCAACCAAACAAGCACGTGGAGAATGTTTCAACCCATAAAGAGACCGGCGAAGCCGACAAACAAGTCTAGAATTGTCAGGAACGATAAAATCTGGAGGTTGGTCCATATATACTTCATCCTCCAATTCTCCATGTAAAAAGGAGTGTTTAATGTCTAATTGATGAAGCGGCCAATGATTAATAGCAGCTATTGCAAGGAAGAGACGGACTGAACTAATCTTGACCACTGGAGAAAAAGTGTCACCATAATCAAGGCCAAATATATGTGTATATCCTTTGACTACCAAACGAGCTTTGAAACGATCGATCTGACCATCTGGTCTAACCTTCACTGTATAAAACCATCGACATCCTACTGTAGTTTTGTCGGAAGGTAAAGTAACAATATCCCAAGTGTTATTTGAATGCAATGCAGCCATTTCTTCCACCATCACCTGACGCCAATTGGGATCACTCATAAACTCACATGTAGACTTAGGAATAGACATTGAATCCAAAGCACACAAAAGACAGATAGGAAGTAGAAAGACGGTCATAATTTAAAACACAGACATATTTACCATTTGGAGTATGAGATTGAATACCTTTTCGTAATGCTATTGGGAGGTCAAGTTCAGGTGACGTAGTTGGAGGAACATTTGGAGTAGGAGGTGGTGTTGGTGGATTAATATCATCTCTAACTTTCGATGGACGGAGTGTCCTTCGCTGGTAGACCTGCAATGGATGTTTAATTGGTGTGGGGATGACAGAAGGGGCATTTTGAGCATCTAAGTTATAAGTCTCATCAGGTGACATAGAGGCAGAGAAAAATAGGGAACCTTCAAAGAATGTAACATCAAAGAAAACAATGTACCCTTGAAGTTGAGAACAAAAACAACGATTCCTTTTTGTAGAGGTCATGTTGTGGATTCAAGAGAGAGTATGAAATCTGATCTTGAAGGACCGGTGAAGGCATTCAATTAATAAGGTGACAGACTGTGAGGAGAGCGTCACCCCAAAAACGAGAAGGTACATTGTGGTGAAGTAAAAGAGTCTGTGCGGTTTCAACTAAATGATGATTCTTCCATTCAGCAATATTGTTCTGTTGTGGTGTATCAACACATGATGATTGGTGAGTAATTCTCTGGGATGTTAAAAAAGATTGAAACTGAGATGACATATATTCACGAGCATTATTAGTGCGTAAAATTTTAATGGAAGTGTTAAACTGGTTTTTAATTTCAGCATGAAACTCTTGGAATATAAGGAAAACATCTGAACGATTTTTCATTAGAAATAACCAAGTTCATCGTGAGAAATCATCGAGGAAAGTTACAAAATAGCAATATCCCAAGATAGACTTCACACGACTAGGACCCCGAATATCAGAATGAACTAAAGCAAAAGGTGGTGTAACACTTTTATTTACTAGTTGACAGTAAGTATTACGAGTATGTTTGCCTAATTGACACGACTGACACTCAAAAGTTGAAAGCTTAGAAAAACCAGAAACTAAAAGACGCATTTTATTAAGACTAGGGTGACCCAAACATTGATGTGTAATATCTTAAGAAGCAATCGAACCACATGCCACCGATGGAGAAAGATGATATAATCCTCCAAATTCACTCCCTGCTCCAATCGTCTGCCTCATACATCGATCCTGGATATAAACAGAATTATCATTCAAAATGACTGAACAGTCAAGAGTACGAGTAAGCTTGTGAACAAATATCAGATTAAAAGGACAACCAGGAACGTAAAGAACAGACTCTAAAGACAGGTTTGGAAGTGGATGTGTCTGACCAAGACACTGAACTTTGATTTTAGAACCATCAGTCACAGTGACAGAAGACAAAGAATCAGAATAAAACAAGTGAGATAAAAGAGATTTATTACCAGTCATATGATCAGAGGCACCAGAGTCAAGAACCCAAGGACCAAGAGAAGATGTAGATACAAAGGCTACAAGATTACCCGACTGAGCAACAGCGACAAATGATAATGGTTGATGGGTTGCTTTGAATTGGAGGAAATCATTGTAATCAGCGGCGGAAATAGTAATGTCTTTAGTGTTGTCCGGCGACAGCGACGCGTGGTTGTCGTTGTTCTCTTGCCTTTGTACAGCAATTAGCTTCAATGTGACCGTAACGATTGCAATAGTTACAACGAATACCATGACGTTGTCCACCCCGTCCTCCGGTTCGTCCACCACGACCATGATAGTGGGAAGCAAGAGCAGATGATTCAGTGGGAGATAGAGTGGAGACCGGTCCAAAGGCGTGAGATGTACCCAAACGCAGCAGTTGTTCACTAACTGCTTCATCGTTAGGAACATTGAATCCTGATAAAATCTGATTCCGGAAGGAATCAAGCTCTGATGGTAGTCCGGCAAGTGCCACGATCATGAAATACATATTTTTTTGTTCAGCATAAGTTGTTGGATCTTTGGTAAAGGGCATTAGGGTTGTGAAATTTGCCTTTAACACATCAAGCTTACTCAGATAGGCTTGCATATCCATATTCTCCAATTTCAAAGAGTTGAGTTTGGTGATGACACTGTAAAGATTGTGGACATCATTAGAGAACATTTTCTTAACTTTTTCCCAAACCTCATAACAAGTGGTAAAGGCTTGGTATTGTGCTTAGAGATTAGTTGCTATGGAAACCATAACACAGTGCATAGAGAAGCATCCGTTTGTTTCCACTTATCGCATTTGGCGGCGGAAATATTTTCTAATTTTGTAATTAAGTGATCTTTCATGTCCTTGACCATGAAACCACATTTTGACAGCACCAGCCTATATATTATAGTTGGTTGTTCCGGTGAGTTTCTCACACGGGATAAGTAGAAACTTCGTAAAAGTGGCGGAATTGGTATCTCCCATGATTTTTGGTTGTTTGGATGAAAAAACCGATAGCAGATCTGGAAAGAGTACAAGAAGATGGTGCCGGCGACGAAAACGGCGGCAGCAGGGACGGCATGACGCACTTTCTCAGTGTCCAATCACTAGATCAAAGACAATTGCATGGAAGAAGAAATGCGAAAAAACAAAAACTTCAACTATGACAAGAAACAAGAGACTAAGATGTGAAACACAGTCTGCAATATGTAAGATCGAAGGGAAAAAGATACATGAATAATGATACTTTATCCCTAAGACCACAATGCAACACAAGTGGAGGACTCTAATAAATACGCAAATAATTATGTTGACAATGGCTATCTGTCTCAGAACATATCTCTAATTTGATTTACTACTCAATCCTAGACTGCCTTCTAGATCATCATCATAACAAAAGCTATAATTGTTTTCAAAAGTGATGGTTGTGGATTATGACTCCAATAACGTATACATGACTTCATTTAGATTTTGAAACGTATTTATTGGGTCTTGTAATAAGTGAATTACATAATCTAATGTGTAATAAACATCATAATATCAGCATCTACTTGGGGTCGGCAACAAGTTTATCATGTTCAGTGTAAACTACAGCTATCATATAGTGAAGTACCCTTTGTGGCTTCCATGACCCCCTTTGTCGTGAAGACGAAGCACCCCACATGGCAGGTTCATGTCATCATGGAACTGCATCCGAAAAAAGGATATTGAATAAAGAAGAACAAACCTATGACCAATTAGAATATTTGAGACAATATCGAATAACCTACCACAAGCACCTGATTAAGGGGCAACTTGTAATAAGCAGCCAGTGGTCCTGCCTGCAGTAAAATAAAGAGTCATGACGTATAACATAATTGATAATCAACACAAGACTTCACACATAGCCAAACATAAAATCTAAAGCAAATGAAACCAGTTCTATGCTACTTCAAAAGCTGAAACCTCATATGGAATCAATGTCAGTACACTACCTAGTACCTTACCACAGCTAGAAGTCGGCACTTCAAATACAGACAAAACAGTAAAAGCAGACAAAAATGATGTTAACAATTAGCCATGAGGACTATTTTCAACCTATGGAGCACGGATACGCCGAACACGAAACCGACACTGACACAGCGACATTGGTAATAATTTTAAAAATGTAATCACAAGTGTCGGTGCCAGTGTCCATCGACACGGACACAGACACGCCTTTTTTTCAGAGGTGTCTGTGCTACAGTGTTTTCAACCCTTAAGTATTTTTATAGAACTGTCTTCTCTTTTTTATTTCCCTCAGTCGGTCAACAATCTGGCATCAAATCATCATTGATCACCTAGAAGCACATTTCGTTGGAATCCAACATTGTCCACTCTATATCAGCAATGGAAATCTGATGCAAACACCTCATTCCTATAGCTGTTGTTTTCAATTTCAATGTTTTCTTATTAAAGTGACCATAACAAAATCTCACGAACTTCCAATTTTTAGCAGCAGTTGAAACTTGCAATCATACAGAGTATGTTTAACCTCTCACCAATACTACAAACAACAAAAATAAATTTCAATATTATAACCAGAACAGCCACCCCTCATATTCAATTATTATTAACTTGAGCAACCAATATACAATCAAATGAATTCATAGGTTAAACCATTTTCGCAAGTGGCAACTGACAAATGCTTTAAACGACTAAAAATAACTAGTAGAAACTAAACTAAAAAGTACTAGAGTATTTCAATTCCTTACTGATTCACCACTGAGATTCATGTAAGTTTGAGGTTTTGCAAGGAAAACTGGAACTTCATCAACAAAACCTGTAACAAATTACTATGCCTAAATATTAAGGATTACAACAACAAATAGCGAAAGAGATATAAAAGAGGAATATCAATTTATCAAATGAAGCAGACAAACCTTTTCCAAAAATGGCTTTGCAATGAACCGTATTCATGGCAATCCCCTGTGATTCGGCAAATGCGTCAATCATTTCAAATCCAACCTGATTCAAATGAAAACATCTTCAAATTTCATCAACAAAAATTCATACAAATTGATAGTTTGTGGTAACCTATGAAGCACCCCCTAAAAACCACTCTGAGACTGATACGTCGTCGACACTCATAATAATTTTAAAAAATGAATAAATTAAATGTAATTCAAAGGAGACGCCTAGAAATAAAAGAAAAGCTAGCTCCAAACAAACTTGTAACTGAATTTGAAAATTTCTGACAGAAACTGAAATAAAGATGATAAGTGAAATTTTAACAAAATAAAATGAAGTACATTGTGTCGAGTTCCTTTGTACTTGTCGCCAGGGTTACCCAAACCAACAAAAAGCCAAGGGCGAGGAGCGACGGTGCAAAAGCAACGCTTGGTCAATGTACTGAGCATATCCTCCACTGAAGTGGAACAGTGAAACGAAGAAGAAAATTGAAGATTCTTCGATTCAGTTAGTGGTGGTGTTGTCAGCAGAGAAAATTAAGGAGAGGATTAAATTAATTGAATATATTGGTGATTAGTAGTTGTCTGTTCAAAGTTAGCGGTGGCGGAGGTGGAGGCGCTCGCCGCGACACAACTAACTCGGTTTTCCGATCGTAAGCTTAGCCGGTTCGGTCCCGGTTTCATAGACTCGGGTCTGGTATGTGCATTTTTATATGGGTCGTAACACTCCGATTCGTATCCAAGTCCAACGGATTCAACCAGTTAAAGCTAGAAATAATAGATTTACAAATAAATAATATAATCAAATGATAAAACCGTACGAGCTCTTCGAAATAACTCTTCTATGATATTATAATGTTTGTTATAAAAATTAAAATTAAAATTAAAATGATATACAAAAAGTAACTATGACATTCAATAATTTAATTTTATAAGTTTTTTAATATAATTGAAATTAAAAAAATCAACAGAATATTTAAAATGTTTTTTTTTGAGAAATTATTTAAATCAATTATTATAAAAAAATTAACCAAAATATGTAATAATATAAAATTTTAAAAATAATAGAGAAATGAAAATTAACCTTAGATTTTTAAGAAAATCTCTAAAAAAAACTCTAAATATTTTATAAATATTTTAAATAATCTTGTCCAATATAATACAAAGGCTTTCAAAACATATTAATTAAATATAAATATCATTTTTGGTTGACTAAAATAGTTTCGCATTGCTTGAAAATCATGACTAAGGGTTGTTTGCATATAACACTTGTACACATCAATTAAACAATATGTTTTTTCTGAAAGACAAAGTCGTGAGGCTTACACCCAGGCGGACAATACATTATAGTTGTAGTGGTGCGGACTTGAGATCAACTGGAACATTGGCGCTAGAATGAGGGGTCGGGCCCACGTGCTCACACCTTGCCCCTTAGCTTCAACGGGGGCCAATTGTTCTATGATGGCCAAAATAATCCACGGTGTTTGAAAGTCGAGGCTAATAGTTGTTTACATACAACACTCATATACCTCAATCCAACGATACGTCTTTTCTAAACAACAGAGTCGTGAGGATTCTCACACTCAAAGCGGACAATATCGCGTAGCTGCAGTGGTGCGGACTTGAGATCAATCAGAACAAATAATGTCAATCTCAATAACTTACAATACTTTTGAAATAACTTAAATCCAAATAAGGGGATTTATCTTCTACGATGACTTTAAATTTATTTGAAATTAATTATAGATTAATAGTATATCAAATAAATGTATATAAATTATAATTTGTGCTTCAAGAGTTCATGTTAGATAATTCAAAATCGAAATATTTTCTTTAACATTCATGTATTCAATTGTTCAAAAGTATTAACATTGTTATTTTCAATGCAAATTTTATACTTTTAAGTTCTTCAACATGCGCGTTTAAGGCACGAGTTAAATATGTCCATGAATATACAATATGCATGTTTGTGTTGAGGATTCATTTTCTTTAAAATTCTTTTAGATATGATTTATACATGCAACCCTGTATTGGTTGGAAGTTAGATAATATGTAGTAGAGAATATTGTATATGTTGAAATATGACTTAAAATTTTAAGTGATGTAGAGAAAAAAAAACATATTTCAAGATTGCAGAAACCAAAAAGGCGAAAAGTGACTAGGAACTTGTTAGAAGGTGTTGAAACTATAGGTGGGCATTCTGGTGGAGATGGTCAGCAGTGGTGGACAGTAATTGGCAGGCATCAGGTGACAGCGGCAATTTGGGTCTATTTGCAGCGGTTCGAGATTTTGGTCATCTTGTCTAGTTTTCTCGGTTTATGTGTTTTGGGTTTCTCTAATTTGGTATGTGGTTTTGTTTGTTAATGGATTGTGTTTTAGATTTTTTATGGATATGTTGGGTTTCAGCAGTTATAATTATGTATCTCTGTCATTCTTGCATTCATAACCTTTAAAATTTTATAGATGAAGACAGAGCGAAGAGGTAACAATCCTAGTAAGGGAAATTGTAAAGGCAAAGCTTGAGAGAAATATTTGGGATATATAATAGAATTGGGAAATACTTTTAAACACCTCTTAGTGATATATATATATATATATATATATATACATATATATATATATATATATATATATATATATATATATATATATATATATATATATATATATATATATATATATATATATATATATATATAGAGAGAGAGAGAGAGAGAGAGGTGGCTTTTATTGAATTTAATAATTTACTCTGATATATGTGAATAAATGTGCCTTTTAATTGTGGGGTAGAAAAGGGTGTTACACAACACATCAAATAAGATATATTAAACAATCTATGGTTGTAACCTTTGAGCACTCGGAGAGAAGATAAAAACTAAACATCGAACATACGCATATTCCAACTAAACATACTTTCATACAATAATCACATATTCACAACTCTCAATTACACAAGTAATGCACATACGCATATTCCACAATTCTCACCATACTTCATCATATACTTCACAAAGCTTACATATATATAGGCAAAGATGGACAATCATCAAACATATCCATAATTCTCAATTACACAAGTAATGTACATACGCATATGCATAACTTCATACAACAATCATATATTCATTCCATGAGACTCAATGCAACTCATGCCATGTGGTACCAACACTTGTTATCATTTTTCGGTTTTTACGCTTAAACCGGGTCCACCCTTCTAGACCGATAACAACAAAAGCCTGTTCCCTAAGCTTTCAAACCCCGCTCTAGGTTTGGGACAAGTCACTAGTCTCCACGAAACTAGCAAACATTGCCTTTTGACTAAATGCTGCATATGCAATCAACCATCAAATGCACTTAAGACCGTTTTCGCATCTTAATCTCATGCATTCAAATAATTCATCACTCAAGAATTATAACATGATTGCACAAACAACATATTCATATTCAATAACATTATATTCATCGAGCAATGCACACATATTTACAATATGTTCCCATGCATTCTTCACAACATCGCATACAAACAATATGCATTCATAATTCAATATCATCACCACATTATCAAGCAATGCACACATATTCACAATATGTTCCCATGCATTCTTCACATACTATAACATATAATCGATATATATATATATATATATATATATATATATATATATATATATATATATATATATATATATATATATATATATATATATATATATATATATATATATATTCACAACATTGTGGCAAACGGCAACAAACCTCATCACAATTCATCATGCATTTTTAATCAAATTAAAACAATGCATTATATATGCCAAAAGGCCACATTTCATAATCAATTCCACAGTCTAGGATTCACGTCTTACGGCTACCCACAGCATATGTTTCACAACATACAATTACTTATTTCTAACAAGGATCGAACACAATCGAACTAAGGAATCCACATTGGATGGAATCTCAAAGAAAACAAAAATGCTGCCACGCTCGCTGTCCTTCGCCTGGCGAATGCTCGCTGTCCTTCGCCTGGCGAAGCATCTGGCGAATGCTCGCTGCCCCACTCGCCTGGCGAACATGCTGGCGAAGGCAGACAGTAGCTACTGGAAGTGTTCGCTACTACTCGCTGCCATACTCGCCTGGAGAAACCTCTCGCCACCTCTTTCGCCTGGCGAACACGCCAGCGAAGGCTGATTTTGGCTACTGTAATGGTTCGCTACCCACTCGCTGGGATTCGCCTGGCGAACCTTCGCTTATGCTCGCCCAGCAAACGTTAGCGAATCTGCGAACTCAGAATCCCTAAATGTCCAAAATCATCCAATCCTCACAAAACTGACCGATTCAATTCCAATCAGTTCCAATAGTCTTAGCCCAACATTACCCGACTAAACTACACTGTTTATTCTCGATTTTAACCGCTAAAACTTAGATTTTATCGATTAAACTCATTATGCCCTAGAATGGAAAATGGAGAAAAAACCCAAACAATCCATACAATCCATAAATAATCATAAACATTGATAGAATAATAACAGTTCACACCCTTATCTTGATTAATCAGAAGCTAGAAGTCGTTCTTGAGCTTTCCAAGCTTTTCCCCTTTTCTCCTTTTTTCTCTTCTTCCTCTTTCTTTCTCTTATGTTTCTATCTTTTTTTCTTTTCTCTCCAATTTCCCTTATATATCCTTCTCTTCTATTTTCTTTCCATCATAATTCTTCTCTCAAAAATATATATCAATTCATTTAATTAATCATCCAATAATTCCAATAATTAAAATAATCCAAATAAATCAATTAATTAATATGAATAATTAATTATTGAAAATTGGGTTGTTACAACCCTCCCCCACTTTAGGAATTTTCGTCCTCGAAAATGTTACCTGATCCCAATGACTCCGGATACGACTCTCGCATCCTAATCTTCCAAACTACTTCCACCAAAGGAATCTCTATACCTCGAAGTTGCTTCTCGTTCATTAACCTGAACTAGCAATGTCTCAACAATCAAATCCTCTCTCACTCGTACACCATCCAACTGAATGAATGCACTTCCTCAACTTAGACACATGAACACATCATGCAATTCCCACAAGTAACAACGGTAAAATAGACTAACATGCTATTTTCTCCATGCTTCCGCTGCGCCACTCTGATATAGATCAGCAAAACACAGTGTGCTTCCGAGACCTAAAGCTCAACCAACACCAGTTACCTTCGTAACTCTCAAAACACGTCCTTTCTTGGATCCTTTTGATCTTTCTAGTCGTCTCTTGCACAATCTCAAGTCCAAGTACAACACTCTCGCCTGACACACATCAACACAACGAATTCCTACACCTCTTACCGTACAAGCCTCATACGATGTCATTCCGATACTAGAATGATCATTGTCATTGTAGGTAATCCAATCAACGATAATTAACTATCCTACGATCCACCTTGATCCAACACACAAGC